CTACCTGAGCCATGGGCAAACTGGTATAGGGTTATAAAGTCAAGGAGTTAAATGCGCGGCTCAAAGATTGGTGTCGGAGGAATGGCTTCCAGTTTGTGGGGCACTGGCACCAGTACTGGAGTAGAAGGGAGCTGTTCTGGACGGGGTGGAGGGGGGTGGGTTTACTTGAATTGTGCTGGGACCAGTGCCCTGGCAAATTGAATAGCTACAGCTGTAGAGAGGGCTTTAAGGTAATTAGAGGGATAAGTGGGACAAGAAGGGACAGAACATACAAACATGGAAAAATAACTGTGAAGTAAGGTTCGAAAGGAGGAAAAAAATGGTAAAAAAGGCAAAACCAATGGCTTTCTACTTGAATGTAATATTTGAAACAAAATAGATGAACTGACTGCACAAATACAGGTTGAGAGGTATGATCTTATAAGTCATTATGGGGACCTGTTTGTAAGGAAATCAAAGCTGGGAATTAAATTTTCAGGGGTATGTGACTTTTGAAAGGATAGGCAGGAAGAAAAGGGTGGTGGATAGCACTGATGGTATTTGATGTAATAAGTATGATAGCAAGACGTGATTTGAATTGGAAGGTGTAGAATCAGTATGAGTGGAGAGAGGAAATAAAGAAGACAGACAGATAGGTAGGAGTCGTCTCTAGGCTCCCTAACAGTAGTCATATGTTGGTACGCAGAATAAATAGGAAATAATGAAGGCATATAACTAATGGAGCCCATTAATCACAGGTGACTTTGATCTTCATATAGATTGGGATAGTCAGATTGGCAGAAGAGGCCATGAGTAAGAATTTGTAGAGTATATTCGGAACAGTTTTTTTGAACAATGTGTGATAACCAGGGATCGGGCTATTTTTGATCTGGTGACATGTAATGAGGCAGGTTCAATAAACGGTGTCGGAGTAAAAGATCCCTACCAAAACATTGACCATAACATGATAGAATTTAGCATTCAGTTTGAGAGGGAGGAACTTGGGTTGGAAACAACTGTGTCATTGCCCTTATTTAAGCTTAGCAAAGGAATGAAGACAGCACTGGATTTCAAAATGGACTGGAAAAGGGGTTTAGCAGCAAAGATGTTTCAGGAACAATGGCACATGTTTAAGAAAATAAAAACGAAAGACATCTTCCAGTGAGCATGAAGAATTCCAAGAAGGGGATAAACCAACCATGGTTAACCAGGGAAGTTAAGGATAGCATCAAACCGAAAGAAAAAACATACAATGTGGCAAAGATTAGTCATAAGGCAGATGATTGGAAAAGTTTTAATAACCAATAAAAGAGGACAAAAAAACAAAAAAATGAGAAGATAAATTGAGTGTAAACTTGCAAGAAATAGCATGATGGACAACAACAGCTTCTTTAAAGAGAGAAGCCAAGGTGAACACAGTTCCGTTAGAGAATGAGGCAGTGGAAGCAGTGGAAATAATAATAGGGAACGAAGAAGGGGCAGAGGCGTTGAAGAAATACTTTGCATCAGTCTTCACACTAGAAGAAACTAACAGCATTCCAAAATTACTAAACATTCAAGAGACAAAAGGAGAGGAAATAAATACAATAACTATCAGTAGAAGAAAAAGTGTTGCAGAAACTAATGAGGCTAAAGACTGGCATGTCCCCTGGCCCTAACAGGATGCATCCCAAGATATGTAAGGGCAGAGCTACAGAAACAGTGGATGCACAGGTACTAATCAACCAGGAATCATTAGATTCTGTAAAAGCCCCAGAGGATTGGAAAATTGCCAATGTAGCATGTTCATTTTAAAAGGGAAGTTTTTAAAAATGGCAAGATAGACCAGTAAGCTAAACATCTATTATTGGAAAAATGTTAGAGTCAATTATAAAGCAGGAATAGCAGAGCAATTAGAAGTACATAACATGATCAAGCAGTCAGCATGGCTTCATGAAGGGCAAATCATGCCTGACAAATTTATTAAATTCTTTGAGCAGGTAATGAGCTAGATAAAGGGAGAGCAGTGGATGTAATATATTTGGATTTTCAGAAGATGTTAGACAAGATACCTCACATTAGGTACTTAATAGGAGCCCATGGTGTTGGAGGCAGTATATTGGCATGTATAAAGGATTAGCTAACTGACAGAAGATGAAGTTGGGATAAATGGTGCATTTTCAGGATGACAATCTGTAACCAGAGGAGCAAAGGGATCAATGCTACAGCCACGATTATTTACAATATATATTAATGACTTTGATGGGGTAAGTAAATGGACTATAGCCAAGTTTGCAGATGAAACAAAAGTAGGTTGGACCGCACTAAGGATGACACAAAGAATGTGCAGATGGATACAGGTAGGTTAGGTAAGCAGGCAGAAAACGTGGCCAATGGAACAGAATGTGGGGAATTGAGAGGTTAAGCAGTCTGGCAGGAAGAATAGAGGAGCTTTACATCATCCAAATGGAGAAGGACTGCAGGAAGCTCCAGACCAAAGGTATTCTGAAGTCCTTATCCATGAATGACAAAAAGCTAGCATCCAAGTTCAGCGGGTAGTAGAGAAGGCAAATGATCTCAAAATGATTTAGCAGACTTGATAGGCTGAATGGCCTACTTCTGTTCCTATATCAACGTTCTTGAGTTGAATGTGTGGAAAATGCCTGGTATATACTGTATTACATGGATAAGTGAAGATAACATGAAGTTATCCACTTCAGTAGGCAAAAACAACTGGCACAGTATTACTTAAATGGTGATTGATTGGGAAATGATGATGTACAAAGGGACTTGGTTGTCCTTGTACACTGATCACTGAAAGAAAGCATGCAAGTTCAGCAAGCAATTAGGAAGGATTTCACTGCAAGAGAGATTGAGTATAGGAACAAGTTTTACTGCCGAGTACGTGGACTTGGTGAAACCACACCTGGATTTTTGCGTGCAATTTTGCTCTCCTTACATTAGGAAAAATATACTTGCCATAGAAAGAGTTCTACGATGACTCACCAGACTGATTCCTGGGATGGCAGGTTCGTCAAATGAGGTGCCTGTGTTGACTGGGACTCTAGTCACTGGAGGTTACAAGAATGAGAGGGGTCTCATTGAAATATATAAAATTCTCTCAGGGCTGGACAGACTGGTTACAGGGATGATAGTTACAGGGGTCATGGTCTCAGAATATGTGATAGGTTATTTCAGACTGAGATGAATTGAAATCTCTTCACTCAGACGGTGGAGAATTTGTGGAATTCTCTTCCACAGAAACCTGTAGAGTCCAAATCACTGACTATATTTAATAAATAGACAGATGGATTTCTACAAGCTTACAAGTGTTAAGGAGAATGAGGAGAAAACAGGAGTATGGCATTGAGATAGAGGAATAGCAATTATCATGCTACATAGTGGAGTGGGCTTAGTGGGTCGAATGGCCTACTCCTGCTTCTATTTCCTATGTTCCTAAGTGTTTCAAGATTTAGAGTTTACAAACTGGAGGTTGAACTACAGACACTGATGCATCAAGGAGGGGGAAAGTTACTTGGAATCTTTGTATCGGGGGTAGCCATACCACTTATTATTGGAGGGAAGGGAAGAGGCAGCAGTGAAGGGTAGTTCAATATTTGCATCCCTGGATGATTTTTTTTCACACTTTTATTTATGGAGTCCATTGGCTGATAGTGCTTTAAGTGGTCCAGCTTGGTCAGGAGATGAATAGTTAAACCAATTGCTCAAACACGTTAACATCCGAGTTCCTTAGAGCAGAGCAAGTATAACAAAAGGAACAATTTTGGTGTGCAAGTGTGACAGCTCTTGTGAGACATGGGTATTAAAGGTACTGCAAAGAGTGTGCTTTAGCAAATTAATAGATGTTATGGTAAATTGAAGGTTAAAGATTAGATGAGAATGTGAAAGTAGCAATTGATTTGGAAAGTTTTTTTTTTGCCCTGGGTAGATAGTGAATTAAGTTTTCTGGAAAGGTGGAGTATGGGTAGATAGCAATGCAAGGAAATAATCAGAGATTACCTTCTCAGTGATTATATGACAGGAGTTACTACAGCCTGAAACTGGAGAAATAACAAGCAGTCTGAACATTGGAAGCTCGCTCAGTGTAATATTTCCTGTGCCTAAATCTCCTCACAGGTACAAAACAGGGTGACCATACCATAAGAGGGCAAGTACAACGAGTTTCCAGCAACATCATCATAGAACTCTTAAACCAAGACCAAATTATTTTAGGTCTTAAAAATCTCATTGCTTTTAATACTAAAAAAATTGTCTTGGTTCTTCAGGAACAGAAGAGGGCTCTAGTGCCAGAAAGGACGACAGACAGCTTTAACTGCTTAGAAGATCAGAGTGACAAAATCAGCAGATAGAGCAAATTAGACAGGGCAAAAGAGCAAATCATATGCAGCTAAGAAAAACTTAGATCTTTTTCTTAATAGGCTTGTTGAAATTGGTGCATTTTACATTTGCATTTTTAGACAATTAGATGCAAAAGATAAGCTTAATTTAAAACGTTTAAAAAGTCAAAGTTGAAAGAAAATGCATCTACAAAAATTCTTTCTCCTGATGAACAAGAACAACAGGCATAATATAGACCTATTATTTAATGGCTGTGTTTGAGCTTCAGAACCACAAGAAAAATCACCTTGTTTTAAAATAACTATTTTTTGGCAATGAAGATTGAAAACTACTTTGGCGATAGTCAACACATAACTCTACTATTGATATATTACTGTAGTTCTTAACTGCATGAGAGAATTACAGGACTAAATCTTAACAGATCCTATTTATAAAATAGTCCATCTTTAATAACGACAAAATAAAACAAATAATTACATGCTGTTAGTATATCTGTGGAGCAAATACTCTTGCTGTCCATTAGTCTCTGTGAAATGTCTTTTATGTTTAAACAAATGGCTAATTTTGGCAATGCAGCTTTACAACATAATCTTTTATACAGCGTTAACTATGCATACGATGAGTTGTTAATGTTAGATGCAAAGAGAATTTAACAATTCACTTCAAACGTTGTCAAACAATACCTTTAGGCTTAAGTCTTTGTTTGGCTCTGAAGCCAGAAGAATTTGCAGTGGCTAGATTGATAGCTGTTGTGGAAAATGCCATGGATCCCAATTCTGTCCTCCTCTGTCCAGTAGTCACTTCATTAGGTTCCTCCAAATTTTCAGAACTGCCTGACCATTGTGCGCCTGCTGAGATCATAGACTGGAGCAGATCATTCATGGCTGGGATGGAAGTGAGAAATAATTTAGCATATTCAATGTACTATACTCTTCCTGGACATAAATTCACAACTGTTTTATAAAATTCACATCATTTCGAGGCTAAAATCGGAGTTGAAAGGCAGCTTTGCCAACAAAACTCTTCAAAATCATTAAAAGATACATAATTTATTTACTACAGCATCAAGAAGGAATGTCATGTATTTGATGCTATGAAAAGCACAATTTAAAGGCAAGAACAATGAAGCAAGTTGTTAAAACTAAATTGACGGGTGTGGTAGAAATACACGGAGAATATAAAATAAAACCCATGCAACAAGTTTCACTGGGCCTAAATGTAAAGTGTTATTAAGTTAGCTATGAGTTTACAACACAGATGAACTGATAAAAAACATTTAAAAGGAAAAATAATTTGACAATTTATAAAATACTTTAGATCCTATTATCCTATTTATTCCATTTCCTTTATCCTATTTCTGACATGTCTTGCTCTTTTATATTTATGATATTTTGAGTGTATAAGCTGGTGTTTTAGAATTTTAACAGAATAAAATACTCTTATTATTTTCATTTATTAAAATTACACGTTAAAAATTCCAAGAAAATATCAGCATTTTTAAATGAGCTGGTATTTTGTCAGCATGAATTTTTAGTTTTGCAATTTTCCTGAAATCTTTCTTAAATTGTGACACTATCACAACCTGTGACTGCCCTCAGCAAAATTCAAAAATTCTCAAATTCCTACTGGAAAAAAAAAGTACAAAAATATTAAAAATGAATGAAGGAAGCACAAAGTTGACTCCATGCCTCTGTCATGCTGCGTTAATATCTTACAATTAAGCAACTTTTCCTCAACTCTTTTCACTGCCTAGTTAATTCTCCATAACCACAAATCTGAAAGAAAAAGAAATTAACTAAGAACCCTATCTCATTTAGGAAGCTTCAGACCAATCCTCATCCAGTAACCTGCTCTGAAAATTACACTTCATTTGACAGCTGTTACAAATTCCACCACAACAGCTGCGATAAACCACAATATTCTAAAAGAAACCAATTTGCCTCATTTCCAAATATTAACAGATACTTCACAAAATTCTACAATCCAGATGTTCTTTAGCTAAAGGTATATCTGTTCTTCCTTGGGCCATAACCTGCGTACCATGTTTTGCTGAAATCCTTCCATCCACTTTTGAGATATATTGTTTACAAACAGACTGAGACAATACATTTATCCCAAAAGCTACAATTGAGTTGATCTATAATCTTTTTATTTAAGTATACTTCTACACTATTCCAGAGCAAATCAGCTTGGGTTTTGATGTTAAAATTTAAATAAATAATATAACTGGTGAACAGTGGACCAGCATTGTAACTTGAACGATCCCATTTTCAATCCCTCGCAACTCTGAATAGCTATTCTTAATCCCTACTCTTTTCAGCTTGTAGCCAAGTTAGCCACTACTTGTCCATATATTTGCATGCTTATGAGTTTATTCATTGTGTGGTACCTATTTGAAGGCCATTAGGAAATCTGGATAAATTACATCAACCTTCTACTCTTTGCGTTACTTCTTCAAATAATTCAATGAATTTGGTTGAGCAAGCTATTACTTCCTGAAATCCATCCATTCACTGTAAAAATTTTAAAAATAAAGAATCCAAAAAGTATAAGTCAGTGGGGATTCCATTAGTTTTCCTATTCTTTTAATACTAATATTTAGCTGACTGTTTAACAATTCAATAGAGATGTTTGTGACCCTGCTTAAATATAGGTATAATGTTAGCTGTCAGTCTGCAGGAACCTTTTCCCTAATAAATTATATAAAATGGTGAATGTTTTTCTCTAGCTCATCTTAAAATGCATGGATACAATCCCTCATTAAATCTGATTAGCTTATTGAATGTTTTTGTTATTTTACTTTAAATACTGTTATCGTATTTCAAATGTCATCTTCTGGTATTTTGTCCAACTGATTTATTTCCCTGGTAAATATTTAAGTAAAATAATGAATTCATGTTTCTGCCATCTTGTTGTCCTTTCATAGTATTCCTATCCTGATGTCCTTATTTATGTGCCTGTAGAAAATGTACTATTTTCTTTTAGCATCCCTATTTCTACTTTGACTTATCATCTAATATCTATATACTTTCCCTTGTCATGCTCATACCTGTTCTTCATGTACTTAGTCAATTTCTCTTTCTGTACCCTATTTGTTTCCCCCACATGCTTTTATTTAAACCTGGTATCTCATCAATTAATTTGCTCTTGTATATTTCAGCAGAATATGGTTTCTTGGACTCCTCTGAAGACTGTCTTGCTGCGGTTATACAGACTGACTTGTTAATACTGGTGCCCATTTTATTTTTCAAAGATCTGTCAGTTACTCAAAATTGGCTTTGCATTAGTCTATTATCCTGGTATTTGCCACCTTTATAACCTTCTCAAACTTAACTACAGATCAGTGTCTCAAAACTGCTAATCTTGGGCCAGAGTTTGTGTCAAATTTCAGATCTGGCTAGTTTCTGAGTCAGGCAGTGTTTTATTGTGTGCAGGGGGTCTAATTAGTTTTGTTATTGAGTCATAGCATCACACAGTCATACAACATGGAAACATTTCCTTTGGTCTAACCAGTCCATGCCAACTATAATCCCAAACTAAACTAGTTCCACCTGCCTGCGCTTGGACCATATCCCTCCAAACATTTCCTATTCACGTACTTATCTAAATTTCTTTTAAACATTGTAACTGTACCCACACACACCACTTCCTCTGGAAGCTCATTCCACACAAAAACCACTCTGTGTAAAAATAAATGCCTCATGTTTTTTTAAAATCTTTCTACTCTCATATGCCCCCTTGTCTTGAAATCCCCCACTGTAGTGAAAACTCAGTGCCATTCACCTGATTTATACCTCTCTATTTTATACGGTCACATCTCAACCTCCTACACTCCAGTTAAAAAAGTTTCAACCTATCCAGCCTCTCCTTATAACTCAAACCTCCATTACCAGCAACATTCTAACAAATCTCTGCTGAACCCTCTCCAGCTTAATAATATCCTTCCTATAACAAGGCTATGAGATGCAAACTTCAAAGAATTATGTACCCGTACCCCTAGGTCTTTCCGTTCGACAACACGGCCCAAAGCCCTAATTTTAATTGTATAAGTCTTGGTTTTGTTTTACCAAAATGTAATACCTCACATTTATCCAAATTAAGCTCCATCTGCCACTCTTCAGCCCATTGACCCAATTGATCAAGATCTCTTTGTAATCTTAGATACCTTCTGCACTGTCCACTTCACCATCAATTTTGGAGAGGTCCGCAAACTTACTAACCATGCTTTCTATATTGTCATCCAAATTGTTTATATAAAAGATAAAAAATTATGGACCCAGTACCAAGCCATATGGAAGACTGCTGGTCACAGGTAAAACAATCCCCCACCATCACTCTCTCTCCTATCATTAAACCAATTTTGTATCCAATTGCCAAGCTCACCCTGAATCCCATATGATCTAACTTTATTAATTGTCTACAATGTGGAACCTTGTCAAAGGCTTTACTGAAGTCCAAGTAAGAAACGTCTACTGCTCTGCCCCCATCAATCTTCCTCGTTACTTCCTCAAAAAACAAGTTTGTGAGATGTGATTTCCCTCGCACAAAACCACACTGACTATCCCTAATCATTCTTTGCCTCTCCAAATGCATATAAATCCTGTCTTTCAGAATCACTTCCAACAACTTACCTACCACCGAAGTCAGACTCACAGGTTTCTCCTTACATCTCTTCTTAAACAAAGGCACAACATTAGCCACGCTCCAGTCATTCGACACCTCACCCATATTTATAGATATAAATATTTGCTCTCCAGAGTACTGCTTAAGTTGAGGTGCTTTCTTTAAAACCTTATTTAGAGCATTGTAGATATACACACATTCTCTTAGACCCTGATAGAGCTTCTGCCTCGTTCCAGGACACACTACATAATTATTTAACACTGATATCATCACAATTATACTCTATTACCATTATACATTCTTTTGATGTCTCATTACAGGGAGTTTGGTCTGGCTGTAGCATCTGAATAATATTACCCTATCTTCTGTATCCATGAGACCACTGATAGTGCTTAGGTTTTCTGCATGTTCTTGTTAGTAGTTTCATTATAACTTATTGATTTTGCCTTTCAAATTGGGATAATCTTCAAAGAGTCAAGGAGTTGGGATCTGGTGCAGGCAAGTATTTCAAATCATGGTCCAGGCGGCCATCGTGGTATTCCAATGCCTCTGGAAGGTGGGGTATAGGCAAAGTTGAGGGAAAGGAACAGGAAATGCAGATGTCACAAATTAGCAGACTATCAAGTTCCTCAAGGAGCTTGTTAAAGTTTCTGTCAATTCAGGATATTAATTTTTAAATACTTTGCCAGTGATCCCAAAATGTCTTGAGACAAATCCTTCAATTTTTAAACAGTTAGGTTTGTAAATAAATCAGGAAATTGTGCTGCCAATTTGGGCTGGGTACATATGCTGCCAATTTGAGCTGGGGTATGTGACAGCAAGGATCATTTGGACTGATTAGTATGGTTGATCTTTAATCTCTTATCTCCATCTACATGAACTGTACTTTTGTCACCTTTCGTCACCTTTATCCACCAACATTGAGAAAGTCCTGGTGAGTAAAGCAAGTTGACCTCTCCTTTCTTCCTCAGTCCTGATTTCTGTGCAATTATGGCTTCGTAGTCACTAACATATCTGGTGCCACACAATGTAAAATTGTCGCAGGTATAGTTTCTGCAGCACCTTCAGATGATGGCTGCCCAGTTTAGTTTACATTCTGTCTACTGTGCACTATTCAATTATCAAAATAATGTGAATGAAAAAATAGCTTAGTGCAAGAAATATCATGAGAATGATCAGCTTTAACATGATACTCCCAAGCATAACTGACAGGATGACACAGATGCATGACAGAAATCGTGGGGATCAACATGACAGGAAA